CAAGATGATACAGGTTGATGGTTTTAACTCAAACAAAGGACTGGCTGATGAGCTAAATGGTTTTTATCTCAGATTTGACAATCAGAAATTTAGTGGAGAAATTACTGAGATGCGTATGAGGACAATTGCCATTCCCAAGATGGAATTTAGCATCCAGAGTGTCAACAACCTATTCAGACAGTCCAAAGTTAAAAAGATGCCAGGACCAGACAACATTGGTGGACAGCTACTTAAGTCATGTGCAGAACAACTCAGTGGCATTTTTCATCACATTTTCATGCTGTCATTCGGAGCTGCAGAAGGTGCCTAAACTCTGGAAGCATGCTACTGTTGTTCCTGTGGCAAAAAGCAAACCCCCCAAGGTGCTAAATGACTTTAGGCCAGTGGTACTGACATCCTTGGTGATGAAATCATTTGAGAAGCTAATCAAGAAGGATGTACTGCGTCAGGTTGAGAATTCCCTGGACCCCCTGCAGTTTGCTTACAGGGCGAAGCAGGGGGTGGAGGACGCCACTCTAACCCTACTCAACTTCCTCTACAAGCACCTGGAGGGCCCAAAAACCCACGAGAGGCTTCTGTTCATTGACTTCTCGACTCCCTTCAATACTATCCAGCCTCACATACTAGCAGAGAAACTCCTCTCCCTCTTCCAAGCTGGAAGTGAGCATTGTGGGCTGGATAGTGGACTTCCTTACCGACCGGTCCCAACAAGTGCGAGTAAATGGCGTCATGTCAAAGCAGCTCTGCTCCTCCACTGGATCCCCACAAGGTTGCTCCTCCCCTGTACATACTATACACTAATGACTGTCATAGCGAATATGAAAACAGGCACATCATCAAGTTTTCTAATGAGTCTGTCATCGTCAGTCTACTACAGGATGGAGAGTCTGAGCATGGGCCTGTGGTAGATGACTTTGTGTCATGGTGCGAGAACTGCTTCCTCCAACTGAATGTCTCCAAAACTAAAGATATGGCATTTGACTTTAGAAGGCAGCCACTGAACCCCACACCCACTGTGGTCATTGGAAATGATATTGAGCTGGTCATTACCTACAAGTACCTGGGAACAGTGCTGGACAACAAATTGACATTTGAGGAGAACACAGATACCATCTGTAAAAAGGGACAGCAACGGCTTTTCTTTCTGAGAAAGATTAACTCTTTTAATGTCAGCAAGACAGTGATGACACTGTTTTACAGGAGTTTTATTGAATTCATTTTGATGTTCTCGATGGTGGCCTGGTTTGTCAATCTTCATGTTTGCAACAGAAATAGGTTGGACGGGGTGGTTAAGGTGGCCAGCAAGGTCACCGGGGTGCAACAGGCACAGCTCTTAGTGACATTCAGAAAGCGAGTAGTGAGGAGAGCTAACAGTATCCTAGACTGTCCTGGTCACCCCCTCCTTGACGATTTTGCGCTTCTCCCCTCAGGTCGTCGTTTTAGACTTCCCAAACTCAATAGCAACAGATACAAGAACTATTTTATCCCACAGGCCATAAACTTTCTGAATCTGCACATGAAATGAAATGTCTATTTATTGTTGCACTTTTGCACAATGATTGCTCCTTTTTATCAATCTCATTGTTTCATGTTATGTGTTTTTTATTGTTGAACCCTGACTGCACAACACATTTCCCAATTGAGACAATAAAGATAACTTGAACTGAACTTGAATGTATCAACTGAAAATTAGACTATGAAACCTCTGTCTTTAAGTACTAGTGGTCCCTTGGCTTCTCCTGGGGGGTGTTTGGGAGGCTGGCCACTCGCTGCTGCCGGTCGTGGTCCGCCATGCACACAGCCACAAAGAAGGGCCTCTGAGTGGTTACTGCCTCATGTTGAACTAATTATTTCAAATGAAAGCATGTGCTGATACCACTGATATGAGTTTATGAGATTGGCTCTTTATGTGAGCCAAGTTTCTTTTTTTTCTTAAGAAATCTAGAGAAAATTGGTTGATTTGCCAAAATGTCTCAAGTGTCAAGACTATGAATAGCACCTCGTGCTCAAAGCAATACTACTTAGACTAAACAAGAGCCCAATACTTGGTGAGGTCCTTATTTAGGTTTTAGACCTCTGGGTTTGTAGCTGGCAGGGAAAATGAAATCCTATCTGGCCACTCAGTCATCAACTCTATTGACTTTAGGGAAGGCATTTTCTTTTAAATGTTACATGAAATCAATTGGAATCAGATGAAAGGGAGTCACATTCCACAGAAAATCAACACAACCTTAAAGGGATATTACCCTCCAATCAAAGTTGATCAGATGTTTTAAGACCTCAAAAGTGGTATTTTGTCAAGATGAGTCCACATCCTAAGCCATCTGTTTTGTAGACCCAGCTATATGCAGACAATCCAAAATGAATGGTTAGGTTAAGGTTGCAAAGCTACCGGTAATTTACCAAAGTTACTGGAATCTTCAGTAATTTCAGAAAATCTATGGCAATCTATCATAATTTTGGTAATTTATACTTTAAAGTTTTTAAAAAATGTATTCCTATTTAGTACTCATTTATTATATCTGTGTCCATGAGTTTCTAGTAGATAGACCATGTGTCAAACTCATTCCGAGTGTCTGCGGGTTTTCACTCCACCCTTGTACTTGATTGATGAATTAAGGTCACTAATTAAGAAGGAACTCCCTTCACCTCGTTGTCTAGGTCTTAATTGAAAGGAAAACACTAAAACCGCTAATACTAGGCCCTCCGTGGGATGAGTTTGACACCCCTGAGATAGACCATATACTGTAGTTAAAGAGAAAATAGCCTAATTAATGACAAAAATAAAGTATTTACTTTTTTCACAACTGCCACCAGTTTGACGCCAAAACATTAACAACAAATACATAGACATAATTTGTAAAATAAAATAAAAATCATGCTGAAACCCTCATATGAAACACCAATGGTGTTTATATTTAGGATAATGTTTTACAGCTTTGTCATTCTATTTTATTTTTTAAATCATCTTATTCAATTATTTAATATATTTTACATGTGATAAGGCCACACAGAGGGCCAGAGATTATTACAGACGCCTGTGAAATCCTTGAAAGATACCAAAATTCTGGTAGTTTATTGGTAAACTTTGAAAACGTTTCCAGTAATATACCCTCCCTTCGCAACCCTAGGTAAGGTTGACTACAAGTATACAGAAATATAAAAATATAATTAATTGATCATTCAGTATCTTTTTTTTTTTTTTTTACAAAAGGAAAAACCTGTAAGGTCTGATAACCTTGCTGAAATGGAAGGATTTGCCCCCTCTATTGAAAGGTGCAAGCTTATCTTCCATATATCATTGGAACCTGACACTGCTGGATTTGTTTAGGCAAAGGTCAAGGATGAACCTGTGTAGACATGGAGGCCTCCTTCAGCTTTGGTGCAGCGCCTGATGTGCACCATTGCCTTCAAGTGGTCCCCTGATTCAATATCATCTGTTGGATTTCAAAAAGTCGAATACTTTCAAGTTTCTAATGCCAGCTTGCTGCAGCGCAACAGCTAAAGCATAGAGATAGTTAGAGGATGCAATATTGTATCTGTCCCATGATGGCGTCTGTGAGAGCATGGGCAGCGCCATTGAGGCCATCTCCATTTTGAATTAGTCCATTTTCTTCTTCTACTACTTCTATGGGTTGGTAAACAAACTGAAAGGGTGCATACTGCCATCTGGAGTGTGTCGCTTGAACAGGTATAAAGCCAAGGTTGGCGCCTGCAAGTACTGCCACCTGCAGTTATGGAATGTTTGCTCATGAGTCTAATTCATTGGCTGATGACCTGGATGGAATTATGCGAACCTTCCTTAACCCATAAGAAAACCCAGCCAGTTGACTACTTCAAAATGGTGTGTCCTCAAAGGCGCTGCCCATGCAAAAACAAGGTTTTGTGCACTAGAGTTCTGTATCTATCTCTATGGGCTAAAGGCAGTGTCGGTTCCACACTACTGGCAGCCGGTGTACAAGAGAAAATGAGATGCATTGCGGTAGAATCAAGTCAGTCTCTTTTCTACTATCATGTTTCAGATCAGGGACGGGTATACACAGTACACAGCAGGAGAAAGAGAGAGACCTAGTATTCAAACTGTATCAGAATGGTTTTCTTCAAGAAGTGTTCTCCTTTAGATTGTTGCTTAATGGGGTTTTGTTAGCCTTTTCTTTCAATTACATCTTCGCAAAATTACTGATAATCTCCCTCACAGCTCTCAGCAAAACAACAATTGAAACAAAGCTAACCTATATTGGTTGACAAGATGGGGTGTACGCTAAGTATACATAGACTAAGTGATGAACTTCATATAGGTCATTTATTAAAGCTTTGAGTACATGGCGCCAACGTGAACAAACATTTGACTTAGTAGCATGTCGTCATAACTAAACACTAAACAGAGTGGGCTCATATTTCTGCAAACTGTACAGCCGCTGGTTCAGAGACTGATAAATATAGGTCCTGTGTTTGCCAATGTCAAACATCCATTCAACTCAAATGTCAACGTTAAACAAAACATGGTTCTCCCAAGCTTAGATAAACACCACTCAAGTACTAGACATGCCATAGCTAATCTGAAACCATCTTGACCGCAAATTATGCTGATTATATCCTGATGTTAAAAACCTCAAAGAATGTAATTTTTTTTCCATTGACAAGCAGAGAGGAGGGAAATACTGAGCCATTCAATGAACACACTGAATACATTGAATACATTTTACATCACGTTTGATTTAGTTGCTAAGGGAAACAGAATCCCCTCGGAATGATGACCACATACTGCAACTATGTCTTCAATTCTTCTTAAAATGTATTTTGTAATAGTGCAACCATAAATAATTATTATATGCCAGATACATATACAGTATGTACCAGTGGAGGCTGCAGAGGGGAGGACGGCTCATAATAATGGCTGGAACGGAGCAAATGGAATGGCATCAAACACATGGAAACCATGTTTTATGTATTTGATACCATTCCACTGATTCCGCTCCAACCATTACCACAAGCCTGTTCTCCCCAATTAAGGTGCCACCAAACTCCTGTGGTATATACTCTTACTATGCAGGAGAATTCAACTTTTTTCTTTTTACACACTATTTCTGAAATTAGAAGATGAATATATGAGGAAATAAGTAGATGAAAAGGGTACTTATAAACCATGCTAACTGAAATCAGGCTAACTGAAATCAGGCTAACTTAAATCAGGCTAACTGAACAAGGATGAAGGGAAGGTTACTTCATGCTAGCGCAATCGTGAAGATCAGCATTCTCAAGCCTGGCCCAGACGTACACATTCAGGTGATAATCTTCCAATGTTCAGTATTCCTCTCGCAGCTCATTTAAACATGATCCAATAAGAGAGCTGATACAAGGTAACTCAGCATAGATACAAATTGACATTTAGGACAAGGTTGAAGAAATGCTATGTAAGGCCCACTTACATAGCAGTGGCTGCTAGTGGAAGGAGAAATGGGGAGGGCAGGAGAGTCCGTCCTCCCCATTTCTCCTTTCACCAGCCTCCACTGGTGTAAGGGAATGACTAAAGAGGGAGGGAGCAGACACGGAGGGCTTCGGTAGCGAGAAGTGAGCAGCCTGGTCCTAGATGTCGGAGCCCATCTCTGCACACTGCTTGTCTGATATATGTGAGGCAAGGGACTCGATGATGTCCAGCAGCAGCAGCTGGCTGAGGGACCTCAGGTTGGGGAGCTTGGACACCTTCAGGAGGGAGGGAGGGGAGGGGGAGGGAGGGAGGGAGGGGGAGGGAGGGGGAGGGAGGAAAGAAGCAACAAATAAAAAAAAATGTCATGATCAAACAAAGACTCAGGAAGAGCAAAGTTGTCGAGCAAAGCCAAAGAGGGAGTGAAAAAAATTAGCGGATCAAAACAGAGAATTGCAAAACTGAAAACCCTGACGAGTAAGACATTACCAAGACAACTGCGGGCCGCATGAAATCGGCATGCGGGCCGCATCTGGCCCGAGGGAGGCAAGTTTGAGACCCCTGGCGTAAAAAAAGAGGAACGTAGTATTTTGCTTGGTTAGTTAAGACAAAAGATCATCCCGAATGGCACTGTGAGGAGAGCCGACAAGAGTGAAGGATAAGGTGCTTGGCTGTAAACTGTCTCTTCTCTAACAACTGTGTAGAGAGAAAGACTGGGGTAATCCATTTGGGGACGGGGGGATTCCCCACAGAGTTTCCCCTCAGGGGCTTAGTTTAGCTGTGGAGTGGGGGGCAACACCCCCCCAGGGCTCCGGACACCAGTAGCCCACCCACCTTGATGAACTGGTGGACGATGATGTGCAGGCAGTGCTTCTTCATGTCCCAGGCCTGGGTCTTGTCCGCCGCCTCTAGGATCTGAAAGGAAGGACCAAATGAGGGACATGGAACTGAAGGAGGATGAATGCTGCATACACACTAACAGGATACAACTACAGGCTAGATTACAACACGTGAGCAGGGATTAACGGTGGGTGCAGAATACCTGGAGGACGTTCTCCACCGTCACATTCATCTCCAGGTTCTGCTTGCAGTAGGCCTGTAGCCTGTTGTTGGAGAAACCATAGTAATATGGTGCTGCGAACAGGTAGCTGTTATCAAGAGTCAAGGGCGTCACTCATTCATTGCACACAAAAATCAGTATTTCCACGTGATAGTGTTGCCACTTTAACGACACAATATGCATGTAGCATTTTAGAAATGGCTCCCCATAGTATTGGACACGATTACAAATGAATGTGGAAGATGCTAGCCACGTATGGGCCGAGTGGGGAGGATACAGAGAGTCTTCTGGAGGCATGTTAACGTCGCCATAGTAGATGTAGCGGAGCATGGACTCAAAGGCCTGCTTGCTGGGCACCATCTCACCGATAGAGATGTTCACCTGGCCATCCTCGGGCATGAAGGAACGGAACATCGCCTCAAAGTAGCTGTCCAGAGAAAAAAAAGACACATCAAGTCTGCACACATACAAACGGATGCACACGAGTCATCAACCACATTTCTGACCAAGAGGTTGTGGGAGTCCACATGTGTGATTTAAATAGACCTGGGTCGTGTTCAGTAGGGCACGAGATGTTACCGCAACATTAAAGTTTTTGCAATGGGGGGGGAAAACACAGTTCAGGTAGCACATCTGTTTCTCCCCACTGAGCACAGCCCCATACAGTAACAGTACCTTGAGCGGGCAGCTAGTATAGCTTTATGGGCGGGCCGCGGGTGTCCGTCCAACAGCAGGACGATGTCACAGAAGTCCAGGCCGCCGCCCTCCAAGTAGGCCTTCATGTCCTGCACCAGGGAGGTGCCTATGTCCACGGGCTGATCCGAGTACACCCTGGGGGGAGGCTGCTGCTTCCGCCGGACTATCTCCACGATCAGAGGGGTGGACAGGTGCTCAAACTCCTTGGTCATGATCACCTGGTTAAAGTGAGTCTCCTTCACCACAAAGTTAAGACAGTGCTCCTACAGTGGGACAGAAGAACATGTTGTGTGAACGATAGATTATTGACAGAATATTTTTTTGCTAATGCTTGATTTTAAAACCTGGTATTAGCAAAACCCTCTTTTGAGTCGCCCTACCTTGAGCTGATCCAGCTGTAGCTTGTTGGCTTGTTCGCACACGCTCAGAACGTTCTGGAGGTCCACCGACGCCTCGATGTACTGCACACACAGCTGCTCCAGCCGCGATAGCTTGAAGCTCAGCGCCAGCTTGTAGACATCCATGATGAGCAGAACATCCTGGACGTGACCTGAGGAGAGTGCAAGAAAACATTGACATTTTAGTAAATTTGCAGAGGATCTTAAAAATAGCCACTATCTGCTAAATAAGTGCTAGAAAGACAAGTGCAAGTTTGCGTCCAAAAAAGGACAAGTACAATTTCTGTGCTCTTTTGAAGAGGTTTCATATGCAGTATGTGTGAGGGTAAATGTTTGCCTAATCACAAATCAACCCCCTAGCTCTTACCCCCTGTGCACTCCTGTTGACCTTAGAGGAGTGGCTGGGCTCAAGCAATATGGTCATTTCTCCATCTTGCCTTCTGATAGGGGTGCCTTGGGCGCTAAGGGTCGATTTGGAACTCAGCAGTTATGAATAGGTATGAGGAAGTGGTGGGTGAACTCTGACCTCTGCGCGGGTACTGGATCTTGTCTGTGTACAGGAACTGCATCAACACCTCGAAGGGCTGGGCCTCGGCCTCTCTGATGTGCACCTCCAGCATGGGCTGGTTCCCTGACGCCCTGGTGCCCCCTGGGATATCCCTGGGACCTCCGGTCCCCGCCCCGTCCTCGCCCCCCTCCTCACTGTTCTCCTGTTGTTTAATCCTCTGCACACAGAAATAGGACACTTACTACCAGTCACTACTTCATGGGCCAGTTTCCCAGACATATTAAGCCTAGTCCTGGTCTAAAAAGCATTCTCCATGGAGAACCTCCATTGAAAGGGATTTTTAGCTAGGCTCAATCTGAGTCTGGGAAATCAGCCCCATACGTGTTACATTCAATTAATTAGGAAATGGTCATCCCATTGGCTCAGTGGGTTAGGGGCATGGTGCTGGCAACACCAGCAATGTGGGTTCGATTCCTGCATGGACCACATTATACTAAATAACGTTGACAGTTCTGTAAGTGTGTGTCTGCTTGACCATGTTATTGTTATTATACATGGGCGACTGACGACTAAAGCATAATGAGGTTGGGAAGAGGACCCAAGCTCTCTCCACTGACCTGTCTCTGTCTATCCCGGGCCTGCAGGATCTTCTTTCTCAGCCACTGGCATCTTGCAGTCACAATGGCAATATGACCCAGGACTCTCTCCTCCCTCTGCACTCAGAAAGAAAAGGGAGGGAGAAAGAGATGGAGAGAAAAATAAAAAGAGGAAGAAAGCGAGAGAGGGAACCAGAAAGCTGGACGATCACTTAAAAGGCAGCTGATCCACCTTCATCCTCTATGAGGCAGGGTCGTGTTCATTAGAGCATGCAACAGGAAACATTTTAAAACGTTTAGCAAAGGAAGACTAAAATGTTTATTAGACAAGTCCCTGTTCCAGTCTGTTCTTTTCTCCATTTGGTGCCTATTGAAGAAATCTCAGCTAAGTCTGATGACAGCTAGGAGGACCCACCTCTCCCAGGATGAACTCCACATCGCAGAACTGACGGTTCTCAAACAGCTTGCCGTAGTCCTCGTGGAGCGTGCACTTTGGGTAGCAAGAAAACTGACGGAAAAGAAAAACAAAAGTTCATAAGCATTAATATGGGTAGTGAGTGACTAAATACTCCTACTTTAGCCTATTTCATTTTCTTCAATCAATACTTTGATTGTACCCATCATGCTGAGCAACATAGTGACACGTAGGGTAGTTCATTGTGTGTTTTGACCTTAAATGCTTTTCAACTCGCACAGACGCCCACCTGAAATCTGTACATCTCCCCGCTGCGCACATTATTGTCCACCGTTCCCCCAAAGATGTACATGGCATCCTGGATCACAGCGGCCGCATGGAACAGTCTTCCACTAGGCATCTAGAGAGGGAGGGAGAGAGAGGATGGGAGAGAAAGAGGGAGTGATTAGGACACCATGGAGAAACGAGACACCCCCATGGGTTTAGCTGGAGATCCCTTCAAAATGACAAGAAAGAGAGCCAAACGGATGAGGTCAGCATTTGTGATACAAGAGGCAAGAGATGCAATGGCTTTTTCCTCCTCAGCTTTGTTTTAGAAATCCCCTAGGTTGTGTTCATTAGGCACCAAACAGAAGAAAACCAACTGAAACAAGGCGGGACTACCTGACCAGAATTTTGTGACTATGTGCCCTAATGAATAGGACCCAGCAGTTAGTGCCGCATACCGCATAGGCACAGGTCTATAGGCAAAGGAAGATCCAAGCTGGACAATCCATTCGTCTATGGGGTCTTTGGCCATACTTGGTTGTTTTGCTCCCCAATTATGCGCATGCTTAACCTGTGGCTTGTTGAGCTATTACATTCTGACTATATACACAATGATGTTCTTAAAGCTGCAGCTTATTTTTCATTTCCTCTGGAGCTTGTTTGTTTCTGTTTCTGTGTACTCAGAAGGGAGGGTCTGTGCGAGGAGGAGAAGGAGAAGAAGAACCACCCAGATTGGCTTAAATCAAACAGCGGTTGTTTTTTGTGTTTGTTTGGAGTTGTAACTGTATGTAGAAGAAAAGCTACGGCGGGGGCAGCTTAAAAGACGAGAGAGAGCAAAGAGACATTTCAAAAGATACATTTTCTACTTGATTAAAGGTATTTTACCAGGATTGACCCTTGAGATGAGGTCATCTCGTTTCCAAGGGGATCCTGGAAAAGGTAGAGAGCAGTGGTACTTCAAAACGTAAAACATTGGCACAAATGTCATGGTTCCTATGCAAAAATATGCACATATCTTAAAGGAAAACTCCACCCAAAAACGTTATTTTGGTATATGTTTCATTGGTCCCAAAATGTTTTGTGTGTCAGCAATCACGTTTTCAAGATATATAACTTTTAATATAGAGAAATACTACCAGTATGATGCATTTTGCACAATATGATGTTGCGTTTTGCATCATATGATGCAAAATGCATGATACAGGCTGTATTTCTGTATGTAGAAAATTATATATCTTGAAAACTTGATTGCTGACATGCAAAACATTTTGGGACTATATCAACAATGGACTAATGAAACAAATACCAAAATATTGTTTTGGGGTGGAGTTTTCCTTTAAGGTGCTGGATGAAATTAAGAATCTGAAGTTATTCCCGTAACTCTGATACACTCCCACAGTGTCACAGCCTATTAAAGTTGCCGTCTTTTTTCATGCTTGCTATGCAACTAATCTCTCTAAATGTTCTGTAGTATTGGCAGCCTGATCAATACAGACACATGGGTACCTCTGACATCAAATTAAGGCTAAGCCCAAAAATATGACAATGCACCCGACAATGCAAACATGCCACGTTTTCACTTCTTTTGGGGTATAGAGAATACATTCCAACCCCTAAGCCCTTCCACCCTAGGCACATCTGGACATCTGAGATTATTTGATAGCTTTAAGCAATATGGAGAAAATTCCACCTAGCCCCTATTACCAAATTGCTTCCACCAATCACATTCTCTACAACTGCACAGGGGTAGGGGCTAGGAGTGGATTTGGGATTAAGACTTATCAGTACTAATAACTAGGGTCCCTACTCAGTGACCAGTGGACACCCCCTGAGCACATACCTCACTGTCCAGGCTGGGCTGGATCACCTCCCAGGTCTGGGAGTCCACGTCGTAGGAGTGCAGCTCATTGGGGAGCGTGTTGTCGGCCGCGCCTCCAAACACGTACAGGTGGCGGTCGAAGGCAACCATGGTGTGGCCATAGCGCCTCTGGGGGGGCGGGGGGGAGCCCCGCAGCAGGTGTTCGGTCGGGATGCGCGTCCACCTGGGCGTGACAGGAGGATCGACAAGACAGAATCTCGGTCAGCTGACCCTCGGACATCATCAGCACAAGCACTCCCTTCATAGTGTCACTAAATACCTCTATTTTGTGTCTACTCGTTCAGAATGGCTATATTAACGTTCAGTCTGCTCTGGCTTACTTGGTATGCTCTGGCTTACTCACATGTGGCCCTTGAACTCAAACTGGAAGAGGTTGTTGGTGATCTTAGCTCCACTCTGGCCGGAGAACACAAACATCTTGTCCCTGCACACGGCTACAGGGAAGTTGCAGCAGGAGGGAGGGATCTCACCGCTCTGTTCAATCTGAGCCCCCACAAACACAGAAATGACATCAGCATTTGCTTTCCTATGCATTTTTTGTTTTTTTGCCATGTATATGCAGTATATGCGGTTGGTTGCGTTTGTATAAACTTGAGTGTGCTTGAAGATTAAGGTTCTGCATAATAACCTCCTCCCAACAGGCATGCTCTCGGTCCTGAAGACTGATGGTCCACATGTCATTTAACCTGCAGGTAGGGAAAACCATGAAATCAGTTAGCTTTTTGCTTAAACAGCAAGACATTGTCAATAAATATGACACAATCGTCAAACAAACCTACCTGGCATTTCCATCGTAGCCAGCAAATATCCATAGCTTATCACTGTACACTGTGGCACCATGTGCTGACCTGGCCACAGGCAAACTGAAATATAAACAAAGACATTATTACACCACTGCTTGAAGCAATATGATGGACTAATGTGGAAGAGGTGACATCTTTTGGTAAGCACATGTATATATTGTACTTCCCTATATCATAAATTACCTGCCCTCCACTTTCCACTCCGTCCACTGTCCTGTTGCAAACTTGTACTCAAAAAGGTCATTTTTGTTTTTCAGATTGGAGTTTGAGTAGATATCGCCAGTGTAGCCCCCTGAAAAGTTAAAATACAAGATTAAGGCTATTATGGACCACATGTAAAGTTAGATGAACACAAACTGGGAGGCATTGAAGAAAAACTCACCAAACACAAACATGCTGCTGCCATACACCACGGCAGAATGGTGATACCTGGGTGCAGGTGGTGTGCCGGTGGTGAAGGCTCTGGAACACATTCAGTGTGTCAGCCCTCAGTTCAAATATGATGGAGCTTATAGAACAGTATTGCCAGTGTCATGTACAGTCCCTTCAGAAAGTATTCATACCCCTTGACTTATTCCACATGTTGTTGTGTTACAGCCTGAATTCAATATATTTTTTCCCCCTCACCCATCTACACACAATAAACCACAACGTCAAAGTCAAAACATGTTTTTAGAAATGTTTGCACATTTATTGAAAATGAAATAGAGAAATCTAATTTACATAAGTATTCACATCCCTGAGTCAATACTTTGTAGCAGCACCATTGGCAGTGATTACAGCTGTGAGTCTTTCCGGGTAAGTCTATAAGAGCTTTCTACACCTGGATTGTGCAACATTTGCCCATTATTATTATACTGTCAAATGTGTTGTTGATCATTGCTATACAACCATTTTCACATCTTGCCATAGATTTTCAACTAGATTTAAGTCAAAACTGTTACTCAGCCACATTCACTGTCTTCTTGGTAAGCAACTCCAGTGTATATTTGGACTTGTGTTTTAGATTATTGTCCTGCTGAAAGGTGAATTCATCTCCCAGTGTTTGGTGGAAAGCAAACTGAACCAGGTTTTCCTCTAGGATTTTGCCTGTGCTTAGCTCCATTCCGTTTCCTTTAAGTCCTGAAAAACTCCCCAGACGCTTTTATCCAGAACGACTTACATTCGTGCGTGCATACATTGTGTGTAGGCGTTTGACAAAGAAATCTCAATTTAATCCATTTTAAATTCAGGCTGTAACACAACAAAATGTGAAAAAAGTAAAGGGGTGTGTATACTTTCTGAAGGCTGTATATTTAAGGAATTGATATAGGTGATTCTTACCGGCACCATGAGCAGTCTTTCACATCGAAGCGCAACAAGTCATTCAGCATGTTTTTCCTGTCAGAAGTTAATAGGGGCTTAGTTAGATCACTGATGATTTCCACTCGACCCCTACACTGCAATGCAACCATGACAAGGGTCATGAATATGTGACTCAAACATTTCTTACCCATTATCTCCCCCGAATACATATATGGCATCCCTGTATGCCACAACGGTGTGCTTGCTGCGTCTGCAGAATTGAAAATAGTTTTTACATATGCAACTATCACAATGGTCACACCAGCAATCACAAGGAATAACCTAACAACATTGTCGTCAGCACCGCACTAGCTACAAATAAATGTGTGATGACATCAGCTGTCAACTCACCTGGCACCGACAAACTCATCACACGGTGGGAGCCTTCTCCAGCGATGGACAGTCTCGAATGGGCCAAAATTAAGTGTCAAATATTCCACACTGTCCGAGCAGCTATGGTCGAAATCAACACTTGGTGCGACTTTGGTGGATTTACAAGACATCGTTACATGACCATCACATCCAACCAATCTCTTCTTAGCTGTCCATAGCAAGACCGTGCCCTCTAGGTCAAAAGCCACCCACCCTGGGATTATGCTGATACAATTGCTAGATGAATTTGCAGATACACTGTTTGTCATTCAGTTAGCTAAGCTTTCCTTTCATTTTAAAATCGTCCTTTTTACTGGCGAAAGGGCAACCAAGCATAGGCGATCGATCTAACGTTTCCTAAACGGCTAGCTAGCTAAGCTAGCTAGTAAACGGCAACTGAATAGCCAGCTAGCTACAAATAAATAAATCGGGAAGATAAATCTTTAATATGTTCCCCTCTTCCTAAAAAAAAAAAATACTACAACAATTTCTAGACCATTAATATCTATCTTACCAAAAAGTGGCATTTACTAGCTACAACAATCGTTATGTTTTTCTTGCAGCAAAACAAAAAAGTATCACAAATCGCCCACGCCCCTGAAATTGTTGCTGGAAGTTGTAGTTTATACAATAGAGTTTCCTATAGTTCACAATCTATCTTAAACCCAATTAGAACAGCATTTCCCATGAAAAACAAAGAGTCTCATCCATTGGCTCTCAATGGGGAATATTTCGCCAATCACAGAAAGAAAGTGAGTTTATCTTCGCTTTATCACACAGCGCGTCATCGTGTGTGGTCGCCATCTATTGGCAGGAAAGAAAACTTCTTTTTCAAGTACTGTATATACAATATGTTCCTCTGGTCTATGCCTTCAGAAAGTATTCATACCCCTTGACTTATTCCACGTTTTGTTGTGTTACAGCCTGAATTCAAAATCGATTAAATATATGTTTTTCTCACCCATCTACACACAATACCTCATAATGACATAAACATGTTTTCGACGTTTTTGCAAATGTATTTAAAATTAACAGAAATATATCATTTACACAAGTATTCACACCCCTGAGTCAATACATGTTAGTATCACCTATGGCAGTGATTACTACTGTGAGTCTTTCTGGGTAAGTCTCAGAAAGACTTACCCAGAAAGTTTTGCACACCTGGATTGTACAATATTTGCACTTGTTTTATTTTTTATTATTCAAGCTCTGTCAAGTTGGTTGTTGATCATTGCTAAACAGCCATTTTCGAGTCTTGCCATAGATTTTCAAGCCGATTTAAGTCAAAACTGTAACTAGGCCACTCAGAAACATTCAATGTCGTCTTGGTAAGCAACTCCACAGGAACATTTTTACTCCTGAACTTATGTATGCTTGCCATAACAAAGGGGTTTAATACTTATTGACTCAAGACATTTCAGCTTTTAATTTTTTATTAATCTGTAAACATTTCGAAAAACATAATTACACCTTGACATTATGGGGTATTGTGTGTAGGCCAGTGACACAAATCTCAATTTAATCAATTTAAAAAAAGGTCTGTAACACAGTGTGAATACTTTCTGAAGGCACTGTATGTTCCACACTGATTACCACTGTTCATGTACGCTCGTGGGATCACTGCTGTTCAGTTAAACTCGTGGAATCAGCCAGCTCGCGAAAAATGTATGTATGTATGCAGAGACACTGAACTAAGTTACTGTGTAGCTACACACTCACAGACAAAATGACACACACACATTTGTGTTTACACATTATCCGTTGTTACTATCATGACTTTACTGTAAAGTGGGTGTAAAATAGAGATTATTTAATAGCTTGAAAAGAAAAGCAGAATGCTGCACATCAAGAGATCATTTTTGAAATATGAACATAGGGAACAACATTCTTAATAAAGCAATACAACAGACACCTTTTTAATTTTCTCTTTATTTCGAAAATACAAGAGTATCACTTTCTAAAATTGGCAGGGCTGATGGGTTAGATGCGACTATTAAGTATTCACATTTTATTGTACTAAATTGGCCCTCAGTATGTTCATCAAAATGTGTCTTTCATAAAGGGGAATCTGACCTTGTTGTCATTCAAACCAACCAAATAGACAAATGGGGAACTGTTTCGAGTCAGTTTTCAATAGTATTCAATTTCACCATAAATAAATAGGGGGGAAATAAAAGGGACCATTTGCCCCCTAAAAACACAACACACATTTTAAAGCGGGAGAGTGACGTATGTTACAACGTCATTGCTACGCTGACGATACACAACTAATCTTCTCCTTTCCCCCTTCTGATAACCAGGTGGCGAATCGCATCTCTGCATGTCTGGCAGACATATCAGTATGGATGACGGATCACCACCTCAAGCTGAACCCTGGCAAGACGGAGCTGCTCTTCCTCCCGGGGAAGGACTGCCCGTTCCATGATCTCGCCATCACGGTAGACAACTCCGCTGTGTCCTCCTCCCAGAGTGCGAAGAGCCTAGGCGTGACCCTGGACAACACCCTGTCGTTCTCCGCCAACATCAAGGCGGTGACCCGCTCCTGCAGGTTCATGCTCTACAACATTCGGAGAGTGCGACCCTGCCTTACACAGGAAGCGGCACAGGTCCTGGTCCAGGCACTTGTCATCTCCCGTCTGGACTACTGCAACTCGCTGTTGGCTGGGCTCCCTGCCTGTGCCATTAAACCCCTACAACTCATCCAGAATGCCGCAGCCCGTCTGGTGTTCAACCTTCCCAAGTTCTCTCACGTCACCCCCCTCCTCCGCACACTCCACTGGCTTCCAATTGAAGCTCGCATCCGCTACAAGACCATGGTGCTTGCCTTTGGAGCAGTGAGGGGAACGGCACCCCTGTACCTTCAGGCTCTGATCAGTCCCTACACCCAAACGAGGACATTGCGTTCATCCACCTCTGGCCTGCTGGCTCCCCTTCCTCTGCGGAAGCACAGCTCCCGCTCAGCCCAGTCAAAACTGTTCGCTGCTCTGGCACCCCAATGGTGGAACAAGCTCCCTCACGACGCCAGGACAGCGGAGTCACTCACCACCTTCCGGAGACATTTGAAACCCCACCTCTTTAAGGAATACCTGGGATAGGCTAAAGTATTCCTTCTAACCCCCCCCCCCCCCCCCCCCCCCCCAAGGCACTTAACCCTAATTGCTCCTGTAAGTCGCTCTGGTTAAGAGCGTCTGCTAAATGACTAAAATGTAAATGTAAAAAATGGTATGCTTATCTTCAGATTGCAACTGAAAACGTTGCAGTTTTCAAGCACCTATCGGGTACATTACATTTTGCTAACATGCACTGTATTTATAGAAAAATTCCACCACAAAACTATATTTTGGTATTTGTTTCATTAGTCCATTGTTGCAGTGCTTAATTTGAGCCGGATCCTGCTGGAACAGGTCCGGCACTTCTCAGTTTTGGACTGTTTCGTTCCAGAACCCATTTGCTAGGATCCGGTACATCTTGTGGCATGAAAAATTATTTTCACTGTTTGCAATGTAAAAATTAGAATAAAAGCAATCAGAGTTAATTCAACTTTGACTCTGTAATTCTCCTGCCCCGTAGACATGAGCCTTCAACTCTCATCTCTCCCACGTTGCACTTCATCATTTATTTCCTTATAGAATCATAGCCGCGGGAAGGTTGCTGGAGGTTCCGCAGTAACCTTGATACATTGAAATAGCCTACATTTGCCAAAGCTATAGAATTACTGCTGTCTGTTCAGGAAGAAATTAAACAATTCCGAACACTACACCAGGAGTAAGCCTATAATTTATCCACAGAGGATCAATAGCTTATTAAAAAATGTTGGCTAGGTGTGGATTGTGTGTAGCCCAATCACAAGGCATGCCTACAGTCCGGAACGCGCGGAAAATATGTTAGTGAACAAACAGCATGCAGCCAAAACAGGGATTTCGCAATATTTCAAATACAATCGCGGGAAAACATAGGTTGGAAAGCACATGGATCCTGCTGAAAAGAGAAGACTAATCTGTATGTAGGCTACCAAGTTATCAACTTCCAAATAGGCCTATTGAGCGAACAGCATCGTTTTGCAAAGTAAAACAAGAGAGATAAGCTTTTGGCCGGTGAGTGAGCTGTGCATCATTGGGTGAGTCAGTGAAACTGCAAATCTTTTTTAGGACTATAATTTCCTCCTCATATTGTATAATATGTGTCTCAGCACACCTAGGCCTAGGCTATTGATGGATTCAAGACAAGCACATTTTTTATTGATCTCAGATTCTCAGTTTGTCAGTGTCAAAGTAGCCCGATCATTTGTGAGGTATTCAAAAAATATTCAGCTAAAGTCTCCAGTAATAAAAAATTATGTAGAATTAATTGAATGAAATGTTTTAATAAAAGGCCACATTTTTCACGGACCCTAGGACCCTAGGCAAGCGCCTCAACTCTACTGCTCTATGCCAGTAGCAAAAGTGATGATAATGCTGCATGCAATTTATTATAAAGGTGATTTTGTTTAATGCATTCTGGTACATCAGAGCCCCCCAGGTCACCCCCCTTCTTGCTCACTTTGTTCTGGCACCTACCAATTTACAAATTAAGCACTGGATTATTGGTATAGTCCCAAAATGTTTTGCATGTTAGCAATCAAGTTTTCAAGATATACAGCTCTGGAAAAAATTAAGAGACCACTGCAAATTTTTCTTAAATCAGCATCTCTACATGTATGACAGCCATTCCATTCCGGTGTCTGTTGAATTCCAACACAGGCACACCTCATTCTACTGAATTAGGTACTGATTAGGTGATCACATGAACCAAATCTTATTTAAGGAGGAAAAGTATAAAAACCATTGCTGTGGTCATCACTATCCTCTTGCAATAGGACCAGCTGGATGGCAAAAACAATGCTAATAGTACCTTAAAAGTAATATTAATCAAAAAATAACTATTGACCATGCTCAAAGAGTTGAAAAGGAAAGTTTTGAGTGAGGAAAAGAAGGGTTCAATTCTGGCTTTACTGGCAGAGGGATACAGCGAGCGTCAGGTTGCTTCCATCCTTAAAATGTAAAAGACGGCCGTTCATAAGAACAAGGTCAAGCAGCAGACATTGGGGACAACAAAGCTACAGACTGGCAGAGGGCGAAAACGACTCTCTACTGACCGGGATGACCACCAACTAATTCGAATGTCACTCAACAACCATAGGATGACATCAAGTGACCTACAAAAAGAATGGCAAACGGCAGCTGGGGTGAAGTGCACGGCGAGGACGGTTCCAAACAGGCTCCTAGGGGCAGGGCTGAAGTCGTGCAAAGCTAGAAAAAAGCCCTTCATCAATGAGAAGCAAAGAAGAGCCAGGCTGAGGTTTGCAAAAGACCATTAGGATTGGACCGTAGAGGACTGGAGTAAGGTCATCTTCTCTGATGAGTCCAATTTTCAGCTTTGCCCAACACCTGGTCGTCTAATGGTTAGACGGAGACCTGAAGAGGTCTACAAGCCACAGTGTCTCGCACCCACTGTGAAATTTGGTGGAGGATCAGTGATGATCTGGGGGTGCTTCAGCAATGCTGGAATCGGGCAGATTTGTCTTTGTGAAGGACGCATGAATCAAGCCACATACAAGGTTGTCCTGGAAGAAAACTTGCTTCCTTTTGCTCTGACATTGTTCCCCAACTGAGGATTGTTTTTTCCAGCAGGACAATGCACCATGCCACACAGCCAGGTCAATCAAGGTGTGGATGGAGGACCACCAGATCAAGACCCTGTCATGGCCAGCCCAATCTCCAGACATGAACCCCATTGAAAACTTCTGGAATGTGATCAAGAGGAAGATGGATGGTCACAAGCCATCAAACAAAGTCAAGCTGCTTGAATTTTTGCGCCAGGAGTGGCATAAAGTCACCCAACATCAATATGAAAGACTGGTGGAGAGCATGCCAAAACGCATGAAAGTTGTGATTGAAAATCAGGGTTATTCCACCAAATATTGATTTCTGAACTCTTCCTTAGTTAAAACATTAGTATTGTGTTGTTTAAAAATGAACATAAACTTATTTTCTTTGCATTATTCGAGGTCTGACAACACTGCATCTTTTTTTGTTATTTTGACCAGTTGTCATTTTCTGCAAATAAATGCTCTAAATGACAATATTTTTATTTGGAATTTGGGAGAAATGTTGTCAGTAGTTTATATAATAAAACAAAAATGTTAATTTCACCCAAACACATACCTATAAATAGTAAAACCAGAGAAACGTATATTTTTGCAGTGGTCTCTTAATTTTTTCCAGAGCTGTATAACTTTCAAAATACAGAAATACAGCTGGTATGATGCATTTTGCATCACATTATGCAAAACACAGCATTATATGATGCAAAATGCATCATACTAGCAGTATTTCTGAAAACTTGATTGCTGACATGCAAAACTTTTTGGGTCTCTCTCTCTCTCTCTCTCTCTCTCTCTGTCTCTCTGTCTCTCTGTCTCTCTGTCTCTCTCTCTCTCTCTCTCTCTCTCTCTCTCTCTCTCTCTCTCTCTCTCTCTCTCTCTCTCTCTCTCTCTCTCTCATTCTCTCATTCTCTCTCTCTCTCTCTCGTAAAATTGGCCCCTCTCGCTCATGTCTCTCTAGTCACCCTCCAGTCACCCGCTTGTCACCAGTTGATAATGTCTCTCACATGACCCCACAGTTTAGTGATCCACAGGTTGACCCCCAGCTCTGTCAGGTATTGCAGCTCGGGTGTGAGCATCTTACGGCACAGCTTGAGGTGGGCCTTGTCCACATTCTTTTTCAGGTTGTAGCCCATGATGGACTTCTCCCCGATGGGCTGCCAGGGCTGCATGACTGTCTCCTGGATGTTATCTGCATCCACAGCATGCCCTCCCTCAATACAGACGGCCGCCATCTCTGCATTCCTCCTCTGGAGCTCCGCCACGTTGTCAGCCATCCGCTGGTGCCCGTATGCCTCCACCTTCCTCCAGAAGGTTGCGTTGAAGTGTTGGTAAAGTCTCCAGTCCACGGCGTTCCACTCCAGGGCCTTGGCCCTCAACTCTGGGGTCAGTCTGGACACGGTGGAGCCCTTCCGGGCGTTGAGCTTGAAGAAGAGCAGGTCGTCCATCTCCCAACAGAGGGCGTCCATGAGCAGGATGAGGGACTCTTCAAAGTGCTCCACCAACATGACCAGCTGGAAGCAGCCTGCGATGGCCCGAATGCCCTCCTCCACCCTCGAGTCACCCAGCTCCAGAGTGTTGTCCTGCCCGAAGTCGAAGAACAGCAGATTCTTGAGGTAGAAGGAGTTGAAGCCATCAGGGTCAAAGTAGTGGCGGGGGTCACGCAGGAACTCCCCCATCTTGTCCTCGCCTGGTATTTTCCAGGTCATGGGCACCAGGCGGCCAAAGTAGTGGAAGGAGGATTCAAAGAGCTCAGCCGGGTCTCTGAGGATGGTGATGTAGGCGGTGTCTGTGGGGAGCACCTTGGCCACCTCCGGTGCATTGAAGCGCATGTGGTTGCATATGATATTGAAGCACATGCCAGGCCTGTAGTCCTTGACCTGGGAGCGTTGAAACAAGGAGGGGTAGAAGAAGTCATTACGGCTGTCTGGAAATGCAAACTTGAGCCTGTGCTTCTCTCCGAAGCGGAAGAGGATGTTGAGGAGTGTGCTGCTGGCCGTCTTGTGGGTCTTCATGAACATAACATCCACTTTGGGAGTGCAGAGGCCCGTCTGTCCCGCGGCATGCTGGATGCCATTTGTGAATGGTGTGGTGTGGGCTTGAGCATGCCGATGGGCGCAGGAGTAAGGCACTGGCACCCTATGGAGAGCAAGCGTACACATACAACACATCAAATCACAAATATTATCTGATTTACCATTATGCAATGATGTAGAAGACCCAAAACTCATTTTTCCTCTCATAGTAGCTTATTACCATCATTCATATGGCAAATAAAGCAATCTGTATCATCTGTACATGATACTGAATGTTGTTGATGCAATATTTACTGTAAAGGATGCCCAACCATTGCACCAACTTCCCCTAGTAAAAAGTGTGTGAATGGGGCTTACTCAGGCAGGTTGAAGTGGACCTGTGGAGCAGAAAGGCAGTAGAGCAGGATCATACAGCTGGTGAGTAGGGTACCCAGGACAAGACCTTTTCCCATCGACCACCATTGCCTCCCCTGCTTGCCAACCATGGTCCCAAATTGAGGGTTATCTGAAACAAAAAGCAGTTTAAGTTATCCACAGTGTACCAAAACAACAGGCTGACAGTCCTGAAATCTTCAAAAGGTTCATCAACAATCTCTACTTTTTCATTGACATGGAATCTGTTAGTCGCTTGGATCCACTGTCTCCTGTTCCCAATTAACACAAACAGCAGCTCAATCAAATGGTTGTTTCCAATGAGCACATTGTGTGCCTTTGGTAATGAACTAGGTTTATGTTCATTTGAACACACATACTGTATCCTTCATACAATTCCTAGAAAAAGGCACAATGGCAAATTGTCCAAAGAAGATGCATGTCCCAGCACCTAATCATTAAAGCTATACTCAAGAGTTTATCATCATTTAAGTTGACATTTTGATACATAGAGAGACTTAACATTGTATAAGCCTTATTGTAAGACATTGTAAGGGCCCACACATATTTTTAACCAGTTATAAAGCATTATACCTGCATGCTTTTAAAAGTGTTACAGCTATGTCTTTACTCTGAACACGGCACAGTGGAGATACACTACAGCATGGACTGATATACCCAATGTTTCTGTGTCATCTGTTCCTTAGATTAATAATGCATGTGATAAATGTTTTGTCTGATGGAAAAGAAAACGTTCTGTGGCTGCTGATCACTCAGTGATGGAGTAGAACATGGGGCTATGTCTTCTGCTCCTTTGTCTGGGAGATCCATGAAGGGGCCGTTATAGAGGAATGTGAAGGGGCATTCTCCCTGCCCTCAGAGTCAGCCCAGGCACTGGGATATATGGGAGACATTTAAACACTAGTCCCCTTGAATCAGGGATCTTTTCATGGAGCTGTTTAACCTGAAAATGGACCTGGGTATAGATGTGTTTCGTTAGGCTGAGCACTTACTCTGCTACTGGGAAGGATGCAAACCTTTGTTGGGCAGGTGTCTGTTATTGTGTAATGTTTCATGTGGTGTATTTTATCTACCAAGTATTGTCTGAAATGGGTGCTAAGAAATAACAGTGACTTTAGAAAGTATTCATACCCCTTGACTTGTTCCACATTATGTTGTGTTACAGCCTGAATATAAAATTGATTAAATTGAGATTATTTTGTCACTGGCCTACACACAATATCCCCAATTTTTACAAATTAATTACAAATGAAAAGCTGAAATGTCTTGAGTCAATAAGTATTCAACCCTTTACTATGGCAAGCCTAAATAAATTCAGGCGTGAAAATTTGCATAACAAGTCACATAATAAGTTGCAATAATAGTGTTTAACATGATTTTTGAATGACTAACTCATCTCTGTACCCCACACATACAATTATCTGTAAGGTCCCTCAGTTTAGCAGTGAATTTCAAACAGGGGGAGGTTTTCCAATACCTCGCAAAGAAGGGCACCTATTGGTAGATGGGGGGAAAAAGTTATTAATTACACTTTGGATGGTGTATCAATACACCCAGTCACTACAAAGATACAGACGTCCTTCCTAACTCGCTCAGAGATTTCACCATGAGGCCAATGATGACTTTAAAACAGTTACAGAGTTTAATGGCTGTGATAGGAGAAAACTGAGGATGATCAACAACATTGTAGTTACTCCACAATACTAACCTAATTGACAGAGTGAACAGAAGGAAGCCTGTACAGAAGACAAATATTCCAAAACATGCATCCTGTTTGCAACAAGGTACTAAAGTAATAAAGCAAAAAATGTGGCAAAGCAATTACCTTTTCGTCCTGAATACAAAGTGTTATGTTTAGGGCAAATCCAATGCAGCACATTACTGAGTACCACTCTCCATATTTTCAAGCATAGTGGTGGCTGCATCATGTTATGGGTATGCTTGTAATCATTAAGGACTGGGGAGTTTTTCAGGATAATAATGGGCAAATGTTACAAAATCTCTAGACTTACCCAGAAATACACACCTGTAATCGCTGTCAAAGGTGATTCTAACATGTCAGGGGGTTGAGTACTTATCTAATCAAGATATTGATATTTTGTGTAGATGGTTGACAATAAATTACAATTAAATCAATTTTAATCCCACTTTGTAACACATTATTTTTTTTGAAAAAGTCAACGGTTGTGAATACTTTCTGAAGGCACTGTATGCCTACAATACCATTCAAATGGAATTGTATGGTGAAGGGCAATGGTAAAAGTCACTCTCTCCACATATCGTATAAGCAGTAATGTATCCATTATCTTCAGTCACAAAAGCACATATTGACATACTGTGCATGGCAACATTCAGGGCAATGAACCCCAAATAGAGACATTCAGGAAAACATTCAATGTGAGGGCTAAATTGCTATGCACACCATCACAGTCATTGGCAATGCCCAAATAACTCATGTCTGAATGAAACCTGTTATGGAATAAGTTAGGTAGGTTAGGTCTGAGGAGCATGATTACACACTAGCACTACCACTTCCACACTCCATCCCCAGGGGGCAGCAGCAACCGGGTCCAGCTGCTGTGTCAAGCCTTGATAAAGTGTGCAGGGGTTTAGTCTAACCTTGAGAGAGAGGTGGCCATAGAGCCTCTCGGCATGACAGTTTTTGTTTGGTTTTAGTTAACCTCTTTAGTTTTGGACCAGTCTTTTGGAGTTTGCGTTTTGTAAATATGTATTTTGGCCATCCTTTTGAACAACGAACAATAATCCGCTTGGGCTGGCCAACCCATGGGAGTCAGGTCAGGACAGAGCTGGCCCTGGATCCCGGTAAGTTTACTTTCTCCTAGGCACATGTACATACACTACACCCCTTCAAATTAGTGGATTCGGCTATTTCAGCCACACCCGTTGCTGACAGGTGTATAGAATCGAGCACACAGACATGCAATCTCCATAGACAAACATTGGCAGTAGAATGGCCTTACTGACTTTCAACGTGGCACCGTCAAACAACTCAGTTCGTCATATTTCTGTCCTTCTAGAGCTGCCCCGGTCAACTGTAAGTTGTGAAGTGGAAATGTCTAGGAGCAACAACGGCTCAGCCGCGAAGTGGTAGGCCACACAAGCTCACAGAACGGGACCGCCGAGTGCTGAAGCGCGTAGCGTGTTTAAATTGTCTGTCCTCGGTTGCAAAACTAATTACCGAGTTCCAAACTGCCTCTGGAAGCAACGTCAGCACAAGAACTGTTCATCAGGAGCTTCATTAAATGGGTTTCCATGGCCGAGCAGCCGTACACAAGCCTAAGATCACCATGCGCAATGCCAAGCGTCGACTGGAGTGGTGTAAAGCTCGCCGCCATTGGACTCTGGAGCAGTGGAAACGCGTTCCCTGGAGTGATGAATCACGCTTCACCATCTGGCAGTCCGACGGACAAATCTGGGTTTGACGGATGCCAAGAGAACGCTACCTGCCCAAATCCATAGTGCCAACTGTAAAGTTTGGTGGAGGAGGAATAATGGTCTGGGGCTGTTTTTCATGGTTCGGGCTAGGCCCCTTATTTCCAGTGAAGGGAAATCTTAACTTGATTGGAGTCCACCTGTGGTCAATTCAATTGATTGTACATTATTTGGAAAGGCACACACCTGTCTATATAAGGTCCCACAGTTGACAGTACATGTCAGAGCAAAAACCAAGCCATGAGATCGAAAGAATTGTCCGCAGAGCTCCGAGACAGGATTGTGTCGAGGCACAGATCTGGGGAATGGTACCCAAATATTTCTGCAGCATTGAAGGTCCCCAAGAACACAGTGGCCTCTGTCATTCTTAAATGGAAGAAGTTTGGAACCACCAAGACTCTTCCTAGAGCTGGCCGCCCGGCAAAACTGAGCAAATGGGGGAGAAGGGCCTTGGTCAGGGAGGTGACTTTTACTCTGACAGAGCTCCAGAGTTCCTCTGTGGACATGGGAGAACCTTCCAGAAGGACAACCATCTCTGCAGCACTCCACCAATCAGGCCTTTATGCTAGAGTGGCCAGACGGAAGCCACTCCTCAGTAAAAGGCACATGACAGCCTGCTTGGAGTTTGCCAAAAGGCACCTAAAGGAATCTGACCATGAGGAACAAGATTCTCTGGTCGTATGAAACCAAGATTGAACTCTTTGTCCAGAATGCCAAGCGTCACGTCTGGAGGAAACCTGGCACAATCTCTACAGTGAAGCATGGTGGTGGTAGCATTATGCTGTGGGGATGTTTTTCAATGGCAGGGACTAGAAGACTAGTCAGGATCGAGGGAAAGATGAACGGAGTAAAGTACAGCGAGATGAAAACATGCTCCAGAGTGCTCAGGACCTCAGACTGGGGTGAAGGCAATGGTGGAAAAAGTACCCAATAGTCTTACTTGAGTAAAGGTAAAGATACTTTAATAGAAAATGTCTCAAGTAAAAGTGAAAGTCACCCAGTAAAATACTACTTGAGTAAAAGTCTAAAAGTATTTGGTTTTAAATATACTTAAGTATCAAAAGTAAATGTAATTGCTAAAATATACTTAAAAGTATCAAAAGTAAAAGTAAAAGTATAAATACACTGCTCAAAAAAATAAAGGGAACACTAAAATAACACATCCTAGATCTGAATAAATGAAATAATCTTATTAAATACTTTTTTCTTTACATAGTTGAATGTGCTGACAACAAAATCACACAAAAATTATCAATGGAAATCAAATTTATCAACCCATGGAGGTCTGGATTTGGAGTCACAAAATTAAAGTGGAAAACCACACTACAGGCTGATCCAACTTTGATGTAATGTCCTTAAAACAAGTCAAAATGAGGCTCAGTAGTGTGTGTGGCCTCCACGTGCCTGTATGACCTCCCTACAACGCCTGGGCATGCTCCTGATGAGGTGGCGGATGGTCTCCTGAGGGATCTCCTCCCAGACCTGGACTAAAGCATCCGCCAACTCCTGGACAGTCTGTGGTGCAACGTGGCATTGGTGGATGGAGCGAGACATGATGTCCCAGATGTGCTCAATTGGATTCAGGTCTGGGGAACGGGCGGGCCAGTCCATAGCATCAATGCCTTCCTCTTGCAGGAAC